TCTCTGAGATCCTTGTTACTATGTGCTGTATTGCAAGTACTATATTTACAAGAAGGCTATAATCACTTGTAACAATACAATACCTCTCTAAATACAATATTTTTTAGCTGCCTGTGACTATATATTTAAAGGGGTCTGACTATATATTATATAGGCTGCTGTTAATAGAAATAAGGCAGATTGATATTTTAAAAAAAATTAATACTTTAACTTTCATAGCTCATATCTTGGTGAATTTTAAGCCTATTATGATTATTTAATAGTCAAAAGAAAGCTTACGAACTAAGTTTTCTTCTGAATATTAAATCATTAAGATAGCTTCAAAATTAATTGAGATACGAACTGTGAAAGTTAAGGTATTAATTTTTTTTAAAATATCAATCTGCTTTATTTCTATTAATGACAGCCCATATATACTTTTAACTCTTTATTTATTATATTATAAAGGCTCTTTTTTTTGTATTTTTATCTTGTTTTTATTTTATTTTTATTTTCTTTTTTAAGTTTTATCTCATATTTTCTTAACTTTATATCTAATAAACTAATATTTTTTTTTTTAGCTATATACAGTATCTACTATATTGTGTATATATATATACCTTTAACTTCTTATTTATTATATTATAAAGGCTCTTTTTTTTGTATTTCTATCTTGTTTTTATTTTCTTTCTTAAGTTAAATTCTGTCTTCTATTTTATTAACTTTATATTTAATAAACTAATACTTCTCTTTAGCTATATATCTACTATGTTGTATATACTCTTGACTCTTTACTTATTATATTATAAAGGCTTTTTTTATTGTATTTTTATTTTGTTTTTATTTTGTTTTTATTTTTTTTCTTGAGTATTTTCTTTTATTTTATCTTTTGTGTTTTGTTATAGTTTTGTCTTTTGTTTTATCTTTGTCTATATATATTTCTTGCTTTTTGCATATTAAATCAAGTAATATAGTTAATACTCCAAGATTTTCTATATTACAATATATATGTATACAGTATACTATATAGCATAGACTACTTCAAGCTAATTTTTTATTTAATATAATTCTCTTTAATTTTTAAAATTTTACATATTAGATATAAATAATACATGATATTAACCAATCAAATTGCAGTATTAGTTTTTTTAATTTTTTAAATTTTTTTTAGCCAATAAAATTCTAGTGTTTTTTTTTATTGTTTTTTTTTTTTTCACTCTCTCTTTATAAAATATTTTATATTATGTGGCCATATATGTATATATTTTATATAAAAGATACATAAAAAATACAATATTTATTTGGTTTATATAAACCAAACCAGGTTTAAATTAAGAGTTTAAACTGTTGATTTAAAATAGTTTGGTTTGGTTTTGACTACATATACCAAGGTTTAATTAAACCAAACCAAACTTTACCATCCCTACACTTTTTTGCTAAGCGGCAAATTTATCTTTTATTTAATAAAGAATTTAAAAATATATATATATAATATATATCACACTTTAGTGTGGTTATAGGAAATTATACTGGTTTATTTTATGTTTATATCATCATGATATATACTAAATTGTTTCCTATATAATATTAATAAAAAAATATATATAACCTTCTAACTAATAACTGCTTTTCAAATATAATATCTGTGTAAAAAAAATAACCTTTTTAGCCAAAATTTCAATATTGTATATCTATATATGTATTATTCGGGGTCCTGCTATTTATATTTATCATGTCAGTAAAATTTCATACCAACAATCGTTTTATTTCTTTTCTAAATATATAAAATTATTATAATAGAAAAGAAATTTAATGTTTTTTTTTCAAATTACTCCAACCTCCAAAAATAATGTTTTACATTTGAAAAGAAGTCTATTAAAAAAAAAAAAATGAATGTGGCAACTCTAAAATTATTGCCAAAAACAGTACTAAACTGCAAATGAAATTATAAACATTTACATAGAAATTAAAAATAAAATAATGAAGGTATAATAATTTCTCTTTATATAAATTTTATTAAATTTGGTATATAGTTTAAAAACCATTATGATTTAAAATAATAACGCGTCGATTCCACCTTCGGCTGCTTGTTCCTGTTAAATAAAAGTCGATATATCAAGCTCATAATAGTTATTGATTGAGAATAATCCAGAATAAGAAATAAACTACACGAACCTTAACAAACATTTCGAAGTATGAATATATAATTGTGACTGCAAGCAGTATACCAGTACCTGATCCAAGGGCACCTGTAAAGAATGAAGACGAAAACTTAGAAAGTTGGCCTTTATTATATAAATTATAAAAGAAGCCTACCTAGTAAATCGGCAAGAACTGACAAGGCACCAATACAGGCACCACCGAAAGCTGCGGCTGTTGGAATGATACGCTTCAACTCTTTGTATGTTGAGGTCTCACGATGGCCAGCCATTACCATACCCTGATCCTTAAGTTGTTTTGCTACTTCACGCGGAGAAGATCCAGAGACTTCAATCCAAGTTTTTGAAAAAAGTGCGCATGCGGTCAACATGAATGCAATATATATGACGGTATGGATAGGATCCAAAAGTGCATCTTTAATACTATGAGGAGGTGACATGAAATAGGCTAAACCCCCTGACGCAAACAATTGGGAAGAACCTTCTTCATACGGCTATATAAAAAAAGAATGGTTTGAACATTATATACAAAATAGCGCATATAAATTAAAATTTAATAATAATAATATACATACACTCCAGACACCAAGAAGACGAATCAAGAGATTATCTGGGAATCGGGTGTACAACATTTGAGAGATTAGGAAAACGTTTGTAGTAAGGGCAGATTGGAGCATAATTGGCATATTTGAAGTATAAAAGAGCTTGATTGGATAAGTTCCCCGTTGACCACGAAATCGATTAGATTTAACAGGAAGTTCAACACGGAAACCTTGAAGGTAAATAACAATGCCAAAGACGACAACAGTTGCCAATAGGTTCATGACGTTTGGTAAATTTGTTCGATAAAAAGCTTCTTTTAAAGCGCGAATTTTGTCATTACGGGTAATAAGTAAATAGAACAAAGCAATGATGGCTCCTTCAAATTCGGGACCTCGACCAGTATTGACAGTAGTTGGGCTGAACGCTTTCCAAACGATTGATTCGCAAATGTTGGTAGCAATGAAAAGAGAGATACCAGAGCCAAGACCATAACCCTTTTGTAAGAGTTCATCCAAAAGCATAGAGATAAGACCAGCAAAGACAAGCTGAATGATAAGCAGTAAACAGACTCCAGCGCCGATTTCATAAGGATTACCATACAATCCAGTCATTACGGATACAGTAGCTTGGCCAAAAGCGAACACCATAGCGAAAAGTTTTTGAGCACCGCTAAATAAAGCACGATCTTCTTTCAAACTGAAATCAACCTCAATGAGGTTAGCACCGGCCAGAAGCTGCATTATCATGCCCGAAGTGACAATGGGAGTAATACCGAGTTCCATCAAAGTACCTCTGTTTGAAGCGAGAATGACACGCAACCAATACAAAGGATCTGAAGAATCAGAAGACATGATACCATATAATGGAATCTGTGAGCACACAAGAAAAATAAAAAGTGTGACAGCCGTCCATAATACTTTTTGCCGGAAAGGAACCTAATAAAAGACAATTGAAATGAATGTTATCTATAGAGTTTTTTATGATGCATAAAAATGAGAACAGGACTCAAAGCATTGATCAAAATACCTTTCTGTCTGGTGCCGTGACCTCCGGAAGTATGGCTATAAATGGTCGGATGAGATTTAGGAATCGGACTATAAAAAATTGAATTAATTGAATTGCTTAGTGATTCAAAGTCTTTATTTAATTGTTAGTAGTACGAAAGCAAATTGTTAATACATACAACCCATTGGAATCAGTTAGCCAGAAAACAGAATAAAAAAACCGTAGTTAAAGAGAGTGAGGTGGAATATTGGAAT